CTTCGGCCACATCGTGTGAAATGTCCTTGAGGGACTGCATCGCCACCGGTACCTTGAACCTCCTGTAGTGGTGTCGTCGGCTGCTGCCGTGAAGCGTTTCGAACCGCCGGGCTTGATGGGCCTGCCGTTGAAGCCTCGCTGATCGGAACTGGGGTGCTCGTCGCTCCCGATGCGTCTTGCACATGAATGTTCTCCTGGTGTGGGTCAGGAATCAGATGTGGGTCAGGAATCAGGTGTGGGTCAGGAATCTCCGTGCTCGAGTCGATCTTGATGTGGACCGGATAGCCGTTGACGTCCATACGTTCATTCAGACGGACTTTGCTTTACTAAAATCAACAGCTGGAATGGGACAGGAACATGAAAGGCACATGACAGGACAAGGGCTTCTCAGAACTGGCTCTTTATAGAGAAAAACGAGAAAAAACGTGAAATCTGGTGATTGGAAATTACGGAAAAAGAAAAAAAGAAATAGAAAAAATGTACTGTTGTGGAGAGGTTGTAGTGATAAAAATAACTGAATTAAATTTTAAAATTTACATTTAAACAAAAACCCTGTGGAAAAAAAGAGAAATGTAAAGGTGAGCAAATTTAAGACAAATGAAGGACGACCTTTGTGGCGTACAATCTTTGTGGAACAAGCACAAAAACTAAACTTCACAGGTGAATTACCAGTCAACAGCAAGCTGCAATTTCTGGATCTCCAGCTATCCTTTTAAGACAATCACACTTGTTGAACCTACTCACGCTCCAAAAAACGCCCCCTTCCATATGACTCTGCCCATTCTAAGCTAACTAAAATTAGAATACTGCATAGCTGCTTAAAAGCAGCCTTGTCCAAGTCATGTGAACACGCAGCAAGGACCAGTTTTGATGAACAAGAGCAAATGCTACAAGAATCTGGGTATGCTAGCTAGTCAGTTTTTAAAGCATTTGAACGCACGTAAACACGAAATGTAACTAAACAAAGATCGACAGGAGGCGTCGGCCTACGATTGTAACGAACAGATATAGTCTTTCCCATAACTTAAAAAGAGTAGCCCCCAAGTATAAAGTACAGGCTGCATTAACAGCGCCGGATAAACTAAAGAAAGTGTACCCTCAGGTTACTCATGGAAAGAACGTGAAGACAAATGCAAGACTTAAAAAAAAATCCGAGCACACCTAAGCACTTTTTATGAGTTATGAATGCGAAAGCATTAATGGCGTTCTTCCGCTCTCTTAGTTCGTCTGCGGTGTGCTGGCGTGGACGGCTACGTTTTGCTACTGCTGAGATTGCGGCCGCCGACAATATAGATGCCTCAGGGGCCAGCATGTTCCTCGGCGCCGGGAGGAACAGAAACGGCCTCCGTTCTCCTTCCCGATCGGTCCGGTGGGTCTTCTTTCTCCCCTTGAGGTCAGAGTAGGACTTAGGCAAGGTTTGATGGCTGATGCACGGGTACAACAGGTGTTGAGCCGTGCGCCAGGCCTAGCGCTTTGTGAACTGCGTGCCCAGGCGTTATAGATAGACTGACCTTACGTTTGCTGAATGTGCAACAAACGGGGGCAGAACTCTGCTCCTCGGTTGTTTCATGAATTTATGTTTCTTTTAATGCTTTGAAAACGTGGTCAACGGACGGGCCCGGTCTGGTCTGCTTACTCGAAGTAGGATTTCGTACACTAACTGTTCTGAACACCGTGAAGTCGTCAGCGTGATGTCATCGAGGGTACATCCCAGGCGCAGACACGAAAACATTAAGCCATATAAATGCTACGCATTACAACCATTCTATTTCTATGGTCGAACATCCGGATAAAGATCTTTGTCACGAAATTAACTAATGACGTTGTGGGTTCCCGTGGCGTTTATTAAAAAAAACTGGTAAAAGAGAAGGGATCTAGAATTTGTTTTATTATCTTCCTTTTTTTTTTCAAAATAAAAGTGACTCACCATGTCACGTGATGGCTTCAAGCGACTGAGCCCGTAGGAAAAGTTTTCTATCATTTTTTTCTAACTTCTCTTCTTATATTTTTATCACCAGTTTAAATTACACCTTTATGTTAAATCGTATCGCCATTTGTTAAGAAACTACTTTATGCAATCCCTTCAAAGTTTCAATGGCGCCGCTGGGTTCACGTTGTATGCAGGAGATGCAAAACTGTTTACATACGTAGCTGTGCAGATACCTGAATTATTGCGCGAAGAAATTCTGCCTCCAAGATAATGTGACGAGGTGATATCATTTGCGTTTTCTTTCCGAGAAGTTAAAATCGATCTTCGAAGAGAGGCGACCAAGAGATGCGACAGGAGCGGCAGAGAGGGAATCCTGATGAAGGCTGTTTCCCGGGAAGAGTTACCTAACGATATAGATGACCGTTTCGGAAGAAACGGCAAGCAGGGTCGGCTTGTTCGCAACGGCGTCTCATCTCCGTAGGAAAGCACTGCCGAGGCTGCTAACTACTCATGAGACACCATCTGCCACCTCTGCAGGCATTGGCGTCGGAACAAGGGAGGGGGATCTCCCTGCACCGTCCATCTCCCGGATAGTTCGGACGCCTCCCCCGGTGATAACCGGTCCAAGTGGATACAAGTTATGCACCAACTTGTCTCTCTAACTCATCTATGTACTGCGGGAGCAGCTCGCGTATGAGTAGGATCTCCCGCCCAAGTATAATTCCTATGTCCTGCTGTCGTCCTTAATGCGGAAAAGGTTCGCTTTCGTGGGCACAACCATAATACGCGGGCGAATTTCTTCAAGTCGTGGAGGGTCTCAAGGTTGGGAAGAATTACAATAAAAAGTGTTTGGTGACACTGGAATTCACAGCACATACAGCTCCAATATTGATATATATACTACGCCTTCTCTTGCTGCAGAAGCAGATGTAACACGATAGCAGTTCCTCTGCGCCTCTTCAAACGTCCATCGAGCTCGGCACTCTTGACCTACCTCAGAGCGGCGCCGTTTTGGCACCAATTCTTTCTAAATTGAACCGGCGTAGAATTATGCATCAAGTCGATTTCCCTGCTAAATCTAGCGTCAAAAATTGGGTTGGTGTATGATCTTTAACTTTACGCTCGTAAGCTGACGTCCGCCGCGTCGGTAACGTTATTCCGAAGGAATGATTTATTTCTTTCGAGTACACTTCTTTTTTTTTTTTAATTCTCAGTTTTGTTGAAACACTCTGTTGCTTGGGAGGCATTGGTAAACGCGAACAAATTTCGGAGGCGAGGGGCGAGGACACTAAATCTCTCTTCCTGCACCTCTAATCAAGTCATCATCAAACCGCCCCTCCGAAAAGCAATGCATGTATAACGAACCGGACTGTGCATGTCTCGCACGCCGTTATATTGCCGCCTGCAAGTCGGCGTAGCTACGTCGGCAGCATGCTTGGCTCATACAGTTGGCAGGGGATCCATCTCTGCAATCGCCTGTTGTTTTTATCTTTCTGTAATTTAATAGAATGGTCTAGAATGCTTGAGAATCACGTTTGTTCATACTCACAATGTAGTTCCAGAACAATCAAGGTCGAATGTTTTAGGTCGTAAGAGAAGCTGTGCCGCGTCGTGCAGGAAGTGTTTTGCCAGCGCTCAATCCAGCTGTCACGCCGCTTTCGACGCCCGCGACGTTTGTACCCCTGGTTTTGTTTTCAACCAGATTTAGTAAGTGTTTTTCAAGTGTTTACCTTTTCTACGTACTTTATCGAAACATAGTTCTTCCAAAACATGACTTCTGCACTGTGATTTGGAGCAGCCTTAGTGCTACAGCTTCCAATAATGTGGAACGCGTACAGAAAAGATTTGCCAGAACTTATCATTTTAGATCCCCATCACACGATCTATATGATTACAACGAAGTGCTTAGACAATTGCAAATCACTAACCTTGCATCAAGATGATGCTCGCGCGACCTTTTATTCTTGTTTAAATGCATACATTCTAATCACGATATTAGCTCTCTGGTCACATCTATTAACTATCATATTGCCGCGCGCGCTGCCTACTTGGCGAGCGCGCGCGGCAATATACCCGGTAGAAATGTTCGTGCTAGTCGCACTTTCCATGTCAATTACAGCGATTTCACGCCACCCTCGGGCCGACTGCAAAACTACTTCAATCATTTGGAATCAGATGGCATTGACATTTTCAACCCTGACCAACCTCATTTTAGGAAGTGCTTGCCTCATGTATTGAAATAATGTTCATGCTTTGCAACTATTCAATTCCTGTGTTTTTCCTTTAGAGGTGTGTGAGGCGACCATACTTTTCTTGTTTGCGTTTATATGCTATCTGAAATGTTACTAACAAGTGCATCAATGTATAAACTTTGGCTGTTTTTGGGCACTCAAAATAAACAAAGAAACAAACACACAAAGTTCTCCCTATTAAATACTTAGTTTTCTACTGCATTAGCCGTCTTACTGTCATTAGTGACATTATGATGACAAGCCTCTGAATACGTGGACACAGTTAATAACGTGAAGATCGGACTCTGAAGTCTGCGATGGGATGCAGGCGAGGGCTGCGGTACGCAAACCACGCCGACGACGCGCCCCGGAAGGTTCAAGAGCCCATCTGGTTGACAGCCGGTACGCCTGGTTCGTGGCCCTCACGTGCTGCTGGGTGCAAGTGTGGTCGACCATGGTGATGCGCAGCTCGGGCGTACTCCTGGTCAGCCTCGTGGCAAACTTCAGGATCAGCCGTCGGTTGGCCTCCTGGCCCTTCGAGATTGCCCTCACGGCCAACTGCTTCCAAGGTACGCATCTCTCCATTCTTGGCTCTCGCCATTTTGTAGGAAGCCTTCGTACGTTCGCATCTCTCGTGCGATCGGACCCAGGAGCTTAGGCAGAGGCAGAGTCAAAGCTCAAATATGTTTTGTCAATAACTTAGAACTGGAGTGATCACTTGAGCGAAACGTCGGCTGGTTGGTTGTGGATACTGATGATGCTCACGGTGACCAGCGGGTATCTTCTGAGAAAAGCGTTGTGGGCATATTCACGTCTACGCAGGACTCGCGTGTGGAATCATGTTACGGTACTTGGACGGTCGTACAATGACCATGATTGCCACGCTGTGTGCCACCCTGAGCGGCATTGCCTGCTTCGTCTGGGACAACCTTGCCGTTTACTACGTCTTCATTGGGCTCGTATTTGGTAAGATGCCGTCGTTGCTTCTTGAGCACCGTAGGGCTCAGCGAGTGAGCGAAAATTGGCCGTTCTTGCAGGGAAGGTTTTTTGGTGAACCCTCTGCTGTTAATCTGATGGCGAATTCCACTGGGCGTTTTGGAGCGCGCCGGAATCAGTTGACCAGATCCGGACTGGAGCACACGATCCGAGCGGGTTCGAGCCGCCTATGGATCCCCAGTGGAACATGACTACTGCTCTGGGATCGGCGGATGCCTTCCCGTCATTCAACTGCCCGGGAATCCCCTTTCCGCGGCCTCCGCGGTCGTTTCGAAGACGTTTTCGCAATCGCGGCGCTAACACGTGTTGGACGCACGAGCGGCAGGAATGGCTCAGGCGCTTCTAGCAAAGATTGCCGGAATGCTCGTAGCGCGGCCGAATACCTTCTCTTCTCCCTCCTGAAAAACGAACCGCCTGTCGAGCCAAGGGGTAAGCATTACGAATTCTTCCGATGTCGAGACAATCTAGGAGCCCAGCCCGCGACGTGCTTCTTCTTCTGAGGCGAGATGGGCGAGATCAGGCGAGATACCCCGCGAGAAAGGAAGTAACGTGTGTGCGCCGAAGGCTGGCCCGGCTGGCTTCCGGTTGAATCTGCCGAAATCGTCGGAGCAACTTTTCTCGGATCCAGATCGAGATCTGGAGCAGGAGCTAATCCAAAACGACCAGTGAAACACGTCGGTCTCGATCCCGATCGCCCAGTGAAATAGGCTCGCTCCAGAAAAGTCGATCCCGAAGCGCTCCAAAACGCCCAGTGGAATTCGCCATGAGACTTTTGGGAAGGTCCCTCTCAGGTTCTTCCCACAAGGCCTCGCGACTACCTCCGTCTCACTTCAAGTCCGACTAATGGGGAATTCCCTTCGTGGATTTGGCGCGACCCAAAAGCGTTTCGTGGTCGCGCCTCGAGCGCGTGCACGCCCAAGAGCTCAATATTGCAAGCGTCGAGAATTCTATAGGACAAATATTTTGCGGAAAATCGACGAATTGATCCCGGCGGCTTTTGCTTTGCGCGTGGAATCTGCACAGTGGCTGCTACGTCGCGCGCGAAGTGAGCGTGCCGTGCGGCGACGTTCGCCAGTTATTCTTTGCATAATTCGCTACATGGAGTTCAGCCTTTATGTGTTACGACGCCTCTCCACCTTTTATTCTGGAGTGCGTGAGCGAGGGCCTTGCAGCTAGAGCTCTTATTTTTGATTCCTACTTTTAAACGCGACAGCAGTTAAAAGCACTTACGACGGGGAAAAGTTAAGCTAGTTCGTGGTACATATTTGGGCGAAACTAGCTGAACATAAAATATATCAACCATTCATACAAATGAGAGAAGAAATTAAATGCGCATTCAACCGCTGGACTACCAAACCAACTGTTTAATTAAAGTCTTATTTTTTCTTGGACTAGCTAGTCAAAGAAGAAGGCTCTCATGAAATGCAGAATACAGAAACAAGTGAAGAAGAAAATATAACAAAAAAGCTAGTCGAAGAGGAAGAGGACTCTCATTAAACAGTTGGTAGTCAAGCGGTTGAATGCGCATTTAATTTCTCCTCTCATTTGTATGGATGGTTGATATTTGTATGTTCAACTAATTTCGCCAAAAAAAAAAAAAAGTTAAAAGGTCCGCAAGCTCGCCGTTCGCAAAGCAGTGCTAGTCGGTTCAGCGTTTTCCGCATACAGACGTTTGTTGTTTGAATTATACGCAAGTTTTATTTCTATCCATGCTCTTTTTCGACAATGCAACGTACCCATGGCGACGAGTCGAAATGGCGGACTGTCGTCGTGGCAGGAATAGTCGGCGACGCCACCCTGATACGGTGCCTGCGAACGCGTCTCCGACCGTCCTATTTTGCCCGTGCATCTAATTGGTCACGAAGGGGAAACAAATGACATCACAAAAGCCGGAGTGTCTCGCTGTCGGAGGTCACAATCCTGGCGGTTGGGCAAAGAACTTCAGGAAGAATGCAGCAGAGAACGCGAGTGTCTCGGTGTCATTGCAACTTCCCAACTTCTGACTGCTGAAGCTTTTGTGGACTGACAAGCTAGACAGCGAACTGCAGCGGAAAAGGCGTCTGCCAGATTCAGCATCGGTGGTGTGACACCCCCAGGATCGCGGCCGGCGATAGCAAGACACTTCATCACCATAATCTTTTAAGTCCTCTGCCCATGAACCACGAGCGTCTTCAATGTGGCACAGCGTATAATTTATACAGGGTGTTTTTGTTTTGTTTTTTACAGCGGAGCTGTTAAGGGCTAGGTTCCCCAAGATCGTGTCCGTGTATGTCGACACAAACCTACGTAGACAGCTACCGCCATCTATAAGCGACGGCGGCAAGTACACAACCAGTATGGTTTCCGCCGTCGCTCGTAGATGGTGGCAACCTTTCCAGCTACAATAAAAGAATGGATAGTTGGGCGCGTTGGTGGGCATTCATCGGAGGAAACAGCGCGAAAAACTGACGACGACGAAGAAGAAGCACACAGTGTATCGAGTACAGCTCCGCTGGTCTCCCTTCTTCACGAGAGTGGAAAGGCTGTTTTTTACGCTTTACAGATTTGTTTAAAAAAAGCCGTGAAAGTTACACTTAAGCGGTTTGTGCGGGTGAGTTATGCGGACAGGGGGACATTATGTGGGTGGCTAATCTTTTCGATTAGTCGGCTAATTAATTACAATTCGTTAATTAACTTTTAATAACTGAAACTAGACATATGGTTCCAATAAGGAACTTAGAGAGCGTCATTGAAAATTACTAGATCAACTCTTTTTAGAACGCCTTGAAGCTCGTGGGAAACTCGGGGGCGCTCCAAAGTTACGACTCGTGAAGTAGGCGCAAAGCTGGCAGTGGCGGAACGCGATGATAATCTAATCATCCGCGTTTTGCCATTGCCAGCTTCGCACCTGCTTCACGAGTGGCACGTTTGGAGCGCCCCCGAGTTTCCCACGAGCTTCAAGGCGTTCTAAAAAGAGTTGATCTAGTGGTTCCCGATGACGCTCAGTAAGTTTCTAATGGAAACCATGTGTCTATTTTCACTAATTAAAAAGATAATTAACGAATTTCAATTAATTATCCGACTTATCGCAAACATTTTTCACCCACATAATGCCCCCCTGGCCCTATAGCTCACCCGCATAAGCCGCATAAGTGTAACTTTCACAGCTTTTTTTAAACAAATCTGTAAAGCTTAAAAAAAAACAAAAAAACACGCTGTATATTCTATTTGCTCTTAGCCCGAGACTGAGGCAGGAAAAGAGGAAAGTTTCAAAGTAGTAGAAAAATGAACAGTCGAGGACATGTCTATATATATATATATATATCGAAGTCCATAAGCAAAAAGGCTCTTCACGGATATTATAGGCCTTTCATTCAACTGCCTTAAAAAATTTAGCATAATTGGCAAAAATGGCGAATTTCGCATTCCATAAATTACTTATACGCGTCTGAGTTGTCGATGCTGGTGATTACATACTTTGTTTTTTGAGGGTTAAAAGTTAGAGAACTTCTATTCAGGCAAGCAGAATTGATATTCACAATGCACAAAAGCTCGGAGTCTTTAGTGCACGGTGAACACAGCCTTTTCACAGATAGAACTTGGAAGACATCATTTATTACGTAGACGCTCGTAATTATGAAAATGACTTGGGTCAGAACACCTTTCATAAAATCTACGCACAAGGACTCTATTCGGGCTGCATCAGATTCGCGAATTCCGTACAATCGAGCCCAACCCTTCGATCTAATAGGTTTTCAGAATAACTGAAGTATCGTTCAACATTTGCAAAGTGTTGGTTCAGTCACCATCTCACAAACAACTGAGAATTTAAAAAAAAGGCGCACTCGAAATATATAATTTATTCCTTCGGAATAACGTTACCGACCGCGGCGGACTTGAGGTTACGAGCGTAAAGTGATACATTATACACTAACGCAATTTCTGCGCTAGATTTAGCGGGGCAATCGACTTGATGCATACCTCTAAGCCACTTCAGCTGAGAAAGAATTGGCGCCAATACGAGTGATCAGTCGCAGCATTCTAACGGCAGGCAATATGAGTGAGAGCTAAACGATAAGTGAATGTGGATAAATAAGTGTTTCTCGCTTTTTTACAAAACGACCCAAATTTAGTTTTATCTTAATTAATTAACGAAAAAAATTGCCCAACAGGAATTTATTATACGCGACGCATCGTCCTGTAGACGCTTATTGTCATCGATTAAACAAATACCAAGAAAAAAGTGTCATCAGCGAATAGCAACAGATTTGAATTTACTGCACACGTGGCAATGTCGTCACATTGCCAGTCCTAGATTTGAGCCTTGTTGAACTGCTGATGATGGGCAAGAAAGGGTGTGAAAATTTATTTAAAACATGCACAACACACAGACGTTTTGAGTCGGAAATTAAGGGAGACCCCTTTCGAGGACGGACACACATACACAGCAGTCGGAGACGCGTTCTTGATGAGCGGCGCATGCAGGGGCCGCCACCGGCACGACCATCTGCACCAACGTGGTGGTGCTGAACAGCTACTTCGCGCGTCGGAAGGCGTCGGCGAGCGGCCTCAACTTCGCGGGGGCCTCGCTGGGCAGCATGATCTTTCCACCTCTCATTGCCAAGCTCACTGACTGGTACGATCCCTCAAACCTTCACGCCCCCCCCCCCCCCCCCCCCTCCTCGACGGTTAAAGCCCGCACAAGTAACATCACGTGTCTTTACTATCGACTGCTGAGGAATATATGGATGTCTTTTCGAAATGGGTCTAAGAACGCCAGCGTCACATCCATGGAGGTATGAAGCTTCTGGAGGCGACATGACGCTGTGGTGGCAGGACATGCCCCCAACGATGACTAAAAACCAAGAAACGCTATGCGGAGAGCAAGTTTGTCTGCTTTTTTTTTGCAGGGGTTGTGTCAGAACGACGTCAAGCTCTGATTGGCTCCGTTGGAAGAACCGTAGGGAGACCTCAAAGCAAGCTGCCTTGAGGACTACCCACTGTCCTTCAATCAGAGCCAATCAGAGCTCGGCGTTCCCACGTCACCACAACCCCTCCAAAAGAAGCAGACGAACTTGTGCTCCGCGCTAGACGAAACGAAGAGCTGACTTGGCACCAACACCTGCTTTGGTCACCCTCGGGAGGGTGACCAGAGGGTGACCAAAGCAGTTGTTGGCACCAGATCAGCTCTATTTTTCGTTCAGGAGCGTATCTTGGTTCCTGTCATCGTTGGGGCGTGTCCAGCTCCAAAGCATCATGTCACCTCCAGAAGCGTCCTACCTCCAGGGTCACACTGCTGCGGTGGTGCTGCTGTCGGCGCATGCGTAGACGACGCACTTCAGGCAAATCTGCGCACGCTCAGCGCCGATCAGGGACGTGACGTCTTAGTCGCAGACGCGTGCTGCTGAATGTTCTACATGTCACTCCTGCCGCGATACAAAACCAAGATAACGAAAGCATGGATACATGGAAAGATGCATTTCAGCGAAAACCATTTCGCGAATTATCGTGAAGGGGTGATATATTACGCAATATTTGAGCGCTTTCAGTGCGTGCATGCTTGGGTCCGGTTAATGAGCTCCTTGTGTACCGAGAGCGATTATGGAAGCAAAAAAAAGGAAGGGCAAATGCATGCGAGCAATTGCTTACGTTCGTCATTTATTTTGACGTGGATCTCTCATAAAGGAGCAAGAGGAGTCTGAATGGCGCCGCCTCGCCGCCAGCGTGGCCAAGATTCACTTGCAATTTTCACAAGCGCCGTGCGATAACCTTACTTGTCTAGCGCTTCAAAACGCTGGTCTTGGCGCATAAGGGATACTCGATTTTAAAGGGCTTGCGCCGCAGTATATACCTTCATACGTACACCCGCCGGCAATATGAAGATGAACACCTTACTTGGTTTCTTGCCTGTTTTACGGCTTTCGAAAGCTATATTAACTCTCAACGTCTCAAATGGTACGTGACCAAAGGTCTAAACTTTGCCTTCTAGCCCTCTTCTGGAACAGAGCTTGTTCCAATATCAAAATATTCTGGCGGGCTAGTTGGTTATACATACTAAATTACAAATAGCGCTAGGATGAGGACAGACCAAGAAGCTGCGAGTTAGCACCTGTCCTGTCTAGTTCTTCGTATGTCCTCGTCCTAGCGGTATTTGTAACTTGTTCCAAAACTTGCAGGAGCATCAAAAACAAGAAGAGGGCTGTTCACCTTCGTATCGCTCACGGGTGCACCTTAATGGGAGTCACTCGTTGCCACGTCTTGCATTGTTTGGTTAGAAATTTCGCCACGCTGCGTAAGAATCTTGGATGGGCAAAAAGTGTTTTGTTCTCCCGAGCGTAAGGGTAAAAGAGCTGTCGCTAGACGTTTTCGGTATTTGCGGCTCGTGAAGATGCATAATTACACTTGGCGGCGTGCAATATAAAGGAAAGATGGCAAACTTCAGGCGACGGACCGCGTCTGTGAGAAACATTTCGAAGCTGATCTTGTGTCGAAAACTTGGACGGCCGAATACAATGGAAACGTTCTGGTCATCACTGCACGACGCGCGTCCTTGGCAAAGACCGCCGCATCAAACAACAGACCGATCTCACCAGCCAGTTTGACTACGCCACCGTTGCTGCAATGCACCGAGGGAACTTTAGTCTTTCTGCACGTGGGGCAACCGCGCTGGATCTCTGCGCGTGTAGAGCACTAGACGGCACGAATCGTACTGCCGCCTGCCTCCTGAACTAAAGTTATGGCGGCGCCACGCATGCGTGGAACGCTTAGTGAAATCGATCTATTAAGTTTCGGGGTTGTCCCTCTCAACTGCCGAAGATTCCGAAAGAGCGGCCCGCTGAACGGCAGCTCTCAGCAAGAGCAAAAAAGTGCCGATTGGAGCATGCCGGGAACACTATGATGTTGAACGAAGCTCTTGCGCACTGTCAACGTCAGCATTTGATGACGGTTGCGTGAATGCGAGAGGGGAAGAATGCGGTGATCAAGAAGAAACCGATCCTGGCCCGTTCTACAACGGTTTCTTCGTTTGCAAGCTCGTTTCATAGCCCGCCACTTTCATGCCTGCAGTCAAAGTCATTTGTATATCATCTACTCGGAAACAGGTGAGGTGAGAATTAAGTGTTGTAGTGTAGAAAGGCAGGATGTTTTTGTGTCTTCAACAAGACGCCAAGTGCCCACCGAACACGCGCACTTCTTAAATACAATACCTTTGTTTGAATGGAAGCGGTTGCACGCTCATTTTATGAGATAGGGGGCATCTGAAACAGTCCAAAAGAAAACTGCACTTGTTACCAACAGGGTATGCAAAATAGATTATGCATCCTGCAGTGCTTTCCAACTCTGCATATCGTTTAGAGGGCCAAGAGAAAACTAGTACATGAAGGTAGGAAGCCGAGAGCCTGCTTTTTGGTGCGAAACTTTGAAAAAATAGCGCACTATTTCTTACCTCCTTTCCTCCGAAAGCTCCCTGCCTTTTCACTATGATGAATCATCGGTGCCCAAGCACGTCAGTCGAACCCAGTTCATGCTTTGGACAAGAGCATTGCGTCACTTGAACTTATGCGCGTGTCAACAATCAATCCGTGGACGAATATTTGTACTGGCATTTGTAGCCAATTAGTGTCGTGATGGCATTTATCTCCAAGCTTCCACCGTGCTTAGAAAGCACTGTGGAAGCTTGGAGTCATCGGTTCCGGTAAAATACTAAGTCACGACCACGTGATTTCTCATTTCGCTTTTGAGTCGAGTGGGAAAGCTAAGGAGGAAGATGCTGGAAAATCTGAACCAGCTGGGCTAGAAACCATCGCAAAAGAAAACACGTATACTCTCGTAGAAATGGAGCGTGCTGGGGAAGTTACGGTGTTAGAGGAGGATAACATAGAGAACGAGGACCGGACGACATGTTTCTGGTGTCGTCCGGTCCTCGTCGTCCATGTTATTTTCCTCTAACACCGTGAAGCATGTATGCCAGTAGGAATGACCATTCCCAATGGCAGAAAGTTGGCTTGTTTGCTAGAGCCCAGTTTTTCAAGACAAGGACGCGATAAAGCTCCTCCTCTCGTGATTACTTCAGTTACCAGTAGGGGCTACTCGTAATTCAAGAAATTTCAAAACCCTACACGCACCCTCCGAAGAGGCAGAGCCCATTAAAACATGGTCGCGAAACACTCAACTCCCGAAAAACTTTTAACTTGTCTCGATCATCCTGGCAAACCCGGAGATTACAAGAGTGCAAGCCCCACAATAACAAGTCATAACATACGCCTAATGCGTGCACGACACATGCTGTCTGTTAATTAAAATAATCAAAGCAATTAAGTTTCTTTGTTTTTGTTCTGTTTTGTTTTGTTTTTTGAAGGGTACGGAGCGCTTGGAAATTTCTCGAGCTGATGCGCGCCACCAAGCCTACGATGAAACTTGGAGCTCTCTGAGGACCAACGTTATTAGATTAGCTCAGTTACTAACCTGCTTGTGACACTGCTTGCACGAGCAGTACCCCCCCCCCCCCCCCCCCCCCTCACTCACCACGACTCGCCTCCCGCCGTTCGGGGCGCCGGACGGCTGCTTTGGTAACTGCAATGTATTCTATGCGACACGTACGTTTTGGACCGCAACGTCTAGATGGCGCTCCACCGTACTCTATGGAGCACAGAGTTTTGAAACGAAAATCTAGATGGCTCCTCAAACGACGGGAGGCAGACTGAAGGGAGTGAGGGAAGATACCCCCTTTTGCGGAAGTTCCGCAACTGAGGTAATCTAGAAACGTTGCTGAGTACGTCGATTTTTCAGGCTTGGTTCGGCCTCACTATCTCAATCGCTCGGAACTCATCCGGGCACGGCCAAATTCCGCCTGGCGAAGGGCGGCCACATGGTGTCTTCCGCGGAAGAAAGCTGCGCTCAGAACACGTCCCACAGCCTATGGTATCGCAGCTCATTGTTTGAATGTATACGTTCCGGACATTGGTCGCTGCAGCAGCGCATCCCAATTGAGTGTGGCAGAGCGTTCGGTGGCGCAGTTGTCGAAGCGCGAATCCGAGCAGCTCCGCCTGCAGGTACGGCCTGCAAGGCACCATGCTCATCATCGGGGCCATGGTCCTCAACGCCATGGTGGGAGCCTTCGTGCTGCGCTCTCCGCGAGAGTCCCGAGACGCCGACGACCAACTCCCGGCCAGTCTGGGCTCGGTCGACTACATGCTCTCCGATCCGATGGCGCCGGTTCCGCCGCCAGGGCCGATCGCCTGGACCGGGAACCACGTGGGTCGCTTTTTGACTGGCCCTCGGACCTTCCTCTCGGTCTCTATTGGAGCGATATGCCCTCGCCTTGCGTTTCTAAGAGAGAGCTGTCATTTGCTCGCCGCTTCGAGGAGCGGCTTTGATTTGATGACACGTGGGGATCAAGTCGAATGCGGCTCGTAGATTGGACACACTGCGTAAGCACCCGATTTGGGAGAGTGACAGTTAGTGCCTCGATGAGCATTCGCAATAGCCCTGGGACCGATGCAATGGCGGGAATAGCCGAACCCTATAAGAGCGGACCCTGCACTTAATTTGCTAACCCCCACCGCGCGGGTGTACAATGAACGTTGGTGCCATAATCGTCGTCATCGCATCACGTGACCGCTTGTTTTGACTGGCAACAGACCCTTTTGCAAAGTTCACTGAGCAAGATTGGCAGTCTTGACATTGGCAGTGCTATAATGCGGAACGCAAGTTCGTCTGCTTCTTGCGCAGGTCTTTCACTGACGTCAGAACGTCGAGCTCTGATTGGCTGTGATAGGGAACGCCGGGCTCTGATTGTGGGTATAGACCTCAATGCTAGCTGCCTTCAAGTCTACCCACTATCCTTCCAATCGGAGCCAATCAGAGCTTGACATTCTGACAGACGAACTTGCGCTACACATGGCGTTTTGTTATCAACTTTTTTTTTTTTTTTTTTTTAGAGAGCGTTTGCAGCGGGCATCGGGTACTACAAAAAGCCTAATTTTAGATCGGATTGTTAACAGCGTGGCGTAGCTCAGTGGCAGACTTGTATGGCACGCATCCCCAAACAATCGAAATAACTTGCAATCGATTACTTTCTGGAGTAACATTTCAATCATTTTAATATACGTTTCTTGGAAGTAATCGCGAGAGTAATGTGATTACTTCTGTAAGTACAAGAACTACTCGTAGCCGTTACTATCTTTCGTTTCCCAATGGCATCTTTGGTTTGTGCAGCTTTACCTACCGAGGAATCCTCAAACCAAGTCCCAGACAGGGACTTGGTTTACCGAAATTTTCGGATTAAGAAGATAATTAGTTTTGTAATGTGGTGATTCTAATCCAATAAGGGACACTACGAGAGACACGTTTTCAAACTGGTAGAAACATGTGTCGTTTTAAATATCTGAAATGATCGGAAAAGTGACGGTTGCTTTTTCAAGACCAATACCGAGAGCAAGTCGTCTGCTTCTTGCGCAAGAGATGCGGTGACGTCAGAAAGACGCTGAGCTCTGATTGGCTCTGATTGAAGGATAGTGGGTAGACCTCAATGCATCAATGCAAGCTGCCTTGAGGTTATACCCACTATCTTTCATTCTGAACCAATCAGAGCTCGGCGTTCTGATGTTACCACAATCACAGCAAAAGTAGCAGACGAACTTGTGGTTCTCATTACTTTTCTTCTCCAGCAATCAAGCAATCTAATTCAATACTTTTTTTTTACCGAGAGTAATTGTAGTTGTAATCGATTACATTTTTCGAGTAACGTGTACAAGACTGCTCAGTGATAACACCTCCACTTAGTACGGAGAGGACCCAAGTTCGATTCCAGCAGGTGGCAGGAGACCTTTTTCGAGGTTTTGGCAACATCGACGACATACGCCCCTACATCGCCTAACATCAATATCAACAGAGACATCTACTACAACATCAACTGCTACAACATCAACAGCTACAACTACTATAACATCAACAACTATTACAACAACATCATCAACGACGGACGTCATTTCCAGTAATCGGAAGAGCCGATAAGAGCTATCGCTGTAAAATTAACGCGTGTTTCGTAGGTTATGCAGGTCAAGGACTAATTCTACGGAAAGCGCAATAATTGCTGCACCGCCCCTTTGAAGGTTCCCTTACGTTGGGGTTGCCTAGTATATACCTATCGAAAAAAAAAACTCGGATTACAAATACAAAAAAAAAAAAAATTATGTACTGGTGAAGATTTGAGCAGCCAATGATGGGAGCAAGCCAATGCCAACAGACCCTTTTGAAAAGCGCGCAGCATCTTGTAATTGCTACGTCAATTATTCCTGTTGGCCATTGTTTGGGCACGTTCTTTGAGCATGTAGGGGACGCGAAAGCTGTGTCAGTGCTCGAAGTTAGCTAAGCTCAGCTTGTATCGAAAACGACGTCAGCGCTTGGTAAAGGCTCGGGTCCAATCGTGCGCTTCGTGGTCAAGAAACGGCGACAGCCAACATTGCTCGAGGGACTTTTGAAAAGGGTTTTATGTATGTAGCGTGGCGCTCCTTTCTTCAAAGCGATATATGCTGGGCTCACATCGGAATAGTCCCGAGCGGACAAAGGGTAAAAGAGAAACGGTCGGATCGTATTGAGAAAGGAAGAGAACATCACACTAGAGAGGGCGTCGGTTGGGGCCGCCATCTTCGTTCGAACGAGAGGGAGCGCGCGCGCGATCGTGTTGCGACACTTCCGTTTCGGGGAAGCAAAAAACAACGAGGTGGCCGCAAAAAAAAGCGTCCGGGTTTAGACAGTGTAAGGTCGGTCCGCCTTTAAGGCGCGACGAGGGAGAAACGTTCCAAGATCCATCTCCTCAGCCGGTCCCTCTGGCTCGCAGGGCAAAGAACGCGCGGCGTCGTTCCTGTGGCAGCCGCTCTTCTACCCTCTCATCTTGACCGGTGTGGTGTACGGCATCGTCTTTAGCACCTACATCGTGACCATAGTGGACCACGTCCGCGACGTGTCCCGCGTGTCCAGCGGACTGGCCGCCCTGTCCGTGACGGCCATGTCGGTGGGCGACCTGGCCAGCCGCTTGGTGTCCGGCTACATCACGGACCGCAAGTTTATCACCCGCGAGCAGCTCCTGGTCATCAACTTCGGCAGCCTGGGCCTCTGCTACGTGCTCCTGACCTTCCTCACCGGCTTGTCGTATATCGCCCTGCTGGCTCTCGTGTTCGGACTCAACGCCGGCGGGCCGATCATCTCGATTCCGGTCCTTTTGGCGGAGCACTGCGGTAACCATCACCTGCCCATCACGTTCGGCATCCACCGCCTTTTCATGGGCGTGAGCACGCTCGGCCGACCTTTCCTGATCGGTGGGTATAGCCTCGACACAGTCGCTGTTTCCAGACTAGGGTGACCACCCGTCCCGCGACTCGCGGGACTGTCTCGCATTGAGGGCCCGTGTCCCGCGTCCCCCCAGAGAAATTCCCAAATCTTCAATATGTCCCGCATTTCACACTGTCGTAAAATTCACTCTGCAACTCATGGTACTGCCCATCAACGGGACACGGGGAAGCGCCGAGGTCACTGGTAATCGTGCGAATCGCAATTATACGCCATTTTCTATCCAAGCATTGCGGGAAGCGACCGTGGTTCTTGCAGGAGAAAGCGACGCGCATGCAGAATTGTGCCTCTCCCTTTCGTAAACAAATATCGTAAGAAAAATTTCTCGCCAAAAGTTTAAATACAAAAAGTTATAATTATTTTCACATTGCTATGTCAATGCGAAAGGGTTGCTGTGGATTTTGTTTTTAGTAAAACAGCCACACTCGCAACGATCGAAGAAGAACAGAATCCTAAAAAAATTGTATAGGACCATGTTGGTAAAAGTAAGCGTTCACAGGAAACAATGACCCGAAAAAGATTTACTGTTTATTATTTCCATTTGATGCATTGAGTTATAATACAGTCAATTTTTAGGTCCTAAACTTCGACACATTTATAACATGTTTGGCATTCAAAATATCACTGGTAGTGAAAATTATTTTATCTTAATTGCTGCAATACAATTGGCAGGTGTATAAGCAGTACAGGATAATAAATGAGTTAACAGAGCCTCGGTTCGTTGTGTACGTGTTAATAAATTTCTTCTACCCCCCCCTCCCCCCCCCCTCCTCCCCCCCCCCCCCCCCCCCCCCCCCCCCCCCGCCACGCGTGTCCACCATTTCGCTAACAGGAAGGTGGTCACCCTATTCCAGACTAGGTTATGACCGGCTCGTAGTGTAATTGGACCGACGTCGTGTGTCGTTGTCTGGACACCAGGTGCCATCGGGTGTCAAGTTGGTATCACCATGGTATCATCGGTGAAGCATTAATCGTCGCTAATGACTCACCAATGAAGCGTTCATGATAATGGCGTCGCGCCATACAGAACGTCGACTTGCGCTTAAACACTTGTAGTCGCTAGTTACACATAAAAGGACGAACGACATAAAAGGACGTTCTGTTCGTGTCCTCTCTTTTTATGCGTAATTATTTCCTCTTTTTTTTTTTTACACCTTACTAACGCGCTCACCTCAAATAGTGCGTCTAAAGAAACTATGAAGACGAGTTTGGACTTTTTTTACAGTTATATAGGCACCTTATTATTTCGTACAAAAACAAACCAGCGAAACCGAAACTATGATGCCTGGAGCGCGTTTCCGGCTGGTGTGTTTAGCATCCTATGCTGCCCATACGTCATAACTGCTCCCGAAGGGGCAACAAATGACATCACAGAAGTCGGAGTGTCATGCTGTTTCATGTCGCGATCCTGGCGGTTGGTCGTAGAAATGCTGGCGAAAAGCAGGAGCAAACGGGAGTTTCGCTGTCGTCGCCGCGTCCCAACTTCTGGCTGCCGAAGCTTCCGTGGACTGCCACAGTGCAGAGTAACCTGCAGCAGAACACGCGTCTGCCACATCCACCACAGCTGCTGGGACGCCACCAGGATCGCGACCGGAGACAGCATGACGCTTCTATGACGTCATCAGGGGGAAATCGCGGGACCACTTCTTTGGACCCCGTAGACCCACCAGTCGGGGAGACGCGTTCTGGGCAGCATACTGAAACTTATGCTCGGCTTTTTCGCAGTACAACCTCTTTTGAAACGGTGGGGACGTCATCAGTGAACCGTCGGTTTCGGAAGAATTTAGTGGTCGTGAGCGTATAGATGGCGCAGTGCACTGTAGCGGCGCTTTGTGGTTTGGGAGCGTTGTACCGCGTGACTGAGTAACCTGGACATTCGTGGCTCGTATGCCGCTTGCCAAGCTACGTCTTGAATTGCTAATATTGCTAAATTACCCAAGCATCAAGGAGAATGCAGGGAATGGTGTTCACGCGCCGCATGTGCTGGCCTCAGCAGTATAGTAACTAATCTAAAGCAAAAGCTTAAAACTAATGGCATCTTGCATGTGAAAGGCTTAACGCGGACGTCACGAACTTTATTAACCCAGCACATGACACAAGTATGGTCCTGCTCGAGGGCGCTCGGCGTAAAAGCGATGGAGTCTTGGACCCGCGCAGCGGCGCTTACTGATGTCCCCGTTCCCGCACATTCGTGCACACTTCAGTACACTACAGGCGCAGAAAGGTCCCGTGGGATGAAAGGCTGGATGAATGTGTAGGGAATATCGCGGCGGCGCTATGGTCTGACTGAAGCCTTTTCGATAATAGACCCGGAGCGGAAACTGCGACGCGTATGGCTGGAACGGTTACTGCAGCTCCCTTCACGCGTGGAACCAAAAATCGCGCGACAAAACTGACAAAACATAATGATGCGTCAGTTTTGTTCTGAACTGAACTCTTTTCAAGTCAGTCCCCGCCTAATATTCACGAGTGAAATGCGCTGGGTTACTTGAGTCCACACGTCAGCGGACTGAAAAAGTATCATCATTTCTATTGGAGTGAACCTTTCTGGTAAAAATATAAAGTTTTCGTTGTTATTAAATGAAAAACAACTAATCGTTTAACAACTTGTGTTGGAAAACGAAGACAAGCGGACTCCGTTCACTCCGATCATGCAATCGCTTGACGAGCCTCAGTTGATATCATGCTCTTGACTGCAATGCCGGTTTTTCCACAGTCTCGGGCGTCGCTGTCATCGGTCCCGGTGTGATTTTTGACGGATCTATTAAATTAATTTGTGCAGTGTGCAAGCGCAACATCCGACTCAAACTTCGTCAACACTCCCTGCAATATACGTGACTTCTATTTCAATCGTTAAACTGAACTTCCAAATGGACTTGGCGATCCCTTTAAAGGCCAACGAGTAGCCAGAGAGGAGGAAACGTTTTCTCAGTTCCTCTTTTCTATTCAAGAGAGAGACAGAGCCTCCTCATCAAAAACCGCGCTCCTGTGGGAGGAGAGAATGGTGCGAGAGGGAATTGAGTGAAGGAAACTGGGAACCGGTTTTTCTTCTCGGCAGAAGACGATTCTCTAGGTAGACAGTAAATACGGCTCGTGTTTGTGTAGTTGGGGTGCACAGCAAACGGACGGTTTACCGCAAGCTCTCTATGTAACCCATCGTCGCGGCCCAAAGGCCAGATCAGACCGGGAACCCAGGGAGAAAGGTCCGTATGAAACTGCCGGTTTGACCGCAACGGATCCAAAATTATGTCAGGAACAAACACCGCGGGTCCGAAGCTACACGGTGGGTCCAAGCGGGACCAAGAAACCGGGACATCGCCGCCAGCTGCGACTGGTCAGCGGTGCGGAGCCGACCAATCGCAGCAGGCGGCATCGTCCCAGTTCCTTGGTCCCGAGCCAATAGTGTAAAAGCGCCCAGTGCGTATACACTATTGGCTCTCTCCTTTCCCCCCCAACCTCTATTACAACGCTACCCCTCCTCTCCTCCGGCCGTGTATAGATAGGCCTCATCACCCAAAGTGGGCGGTTTTATTTTGACGTTTTTGTACGGACAGTCCGCTTTTATGATCACAACCGCCTTCACGAAGTCTTGAATTGGTCTTGAAGTCTTGAATCACAACCGCCTTCACGAAGTTGGACGTGCGCGTGTCGCCTCATTATTCCGCCTTTCTATGGCTCGCGCATGGCGGCAGAGGTGTGCGTGTTTCCGCGTTCTTGTGTCCCACTCGTTGGTGACTGATAACTTTGTGTGATAACTCTGCTAATGTGCCCCAGACCCCAGCCCAACGAATGGGACACTTGTTGTGCTCGGGCACATTAGCAGAAAGATGGCGTCAGCCAGAGGCTTAAGACCCTCCATGCAGGCTACTTCAAGGACACGCACGGCTCGTACAACGGTCTGTACTACCTGGTCGGCGTGTGCAGCGTCGCCACCGCGCTCCTCTGGATGGCCGTCATAGGCGCCGACGGTTGCAAGACGAGGCTGGCGCGCCTCGTCGCCACCTGGCGGCTCACCGACAAGGTTGCGTCGCGTCATGATGGCAAACCGCGTGTCTCGTGACGACATCACCCTCTGTTGGAAGCACGCGGTTTTTTGTGCAGCGCCGATCGCGTGCGCTCCGTCAATATTCCGCGGCGCGTGCGCAGTTGGTCGACCTAATGAATAGTGCGTTAATACATGTTTCTTTGCTTATTTGTGCCGGTAGCCCTGCAGAAGGGTTGACACAGGGTGAAGTTTTAGCGCTCAATACGGTAGAAAGCAAAACATATTGGTCCAATGTTATGGCCAGCTGCAGAAGAGCTTAGACACCGTTTCACTGCTCACAATTCACAGTATTGTTTATTTTTTTTTTTTTAACGCAATTAAGCAGGCACGACCTCACTGCTCACAGCTCGAAATAAATCACAAAGAGTTCAAAACGCTCAAACGTGTAAAAAAGCAAAATAATAAATACAGTATAAAGTCTCCACTATGGGACGCTATGTAGGCGAGCCGACAATATTTTCAATTTGGCCTGGAGAGTCTATTTACACTATATCACGGGGGAAGAGAGCTCCATTCCTTTATGGTTCGTGGAAAAAGTGAATGTTTAAATGTGTGTATGCGTGTCATTAAGAGGGCGATTTGATCTTGATGGCCGCTTCTGACTGAACGAGATGCTTGTGGCTTTGTGTAACGTTGAGCGTCAAAATTGAAAATGTTTTGATGCAATGAATAAAGAAAAAACTTAACCTTGCTATTTTTCGTCTATCTTCAAGATCTGGCAAGTTAGGTATTTTTAGCATTTCCATAACAGAGTCTGTCGTTTTTTACTTTGACAATATAAGCCTTGCTGCTTTTCTTTAAACCCGTTCGGTCCTGCCAATCTTGTATTGTATAAATGGGTCCTATACTGCACTCGCGTACTCTAATATGGAACTTGCAATCGCTAAATAGGCGGTTATTTTAACTTCTGAGGGAGCTTGTTTCAGTTGCAGTCTTCTTTCAGCTGGAGAGAAGAGCTCATTTACGTGCATTTTCAAGCTTATATCTTCAGTTATAGTAAGTCCCAAATATTTGAAGTGACTGACGCGCGTCAACAGTACGCCATCAAATTCATATTCAAACATTAATATTTTTAGTTTTGATTGTTATCCTTGCAAACACTTTTTTTTTTAATGTTGATATCTTATTTCTTGTTGCACGCACCAGTGGCTAATAACTATTATTGCTGAGTCGACACTAACCTGACAAAGAACTGTCAGGTTAGTGTCGAGGTTATCTGCAATATCATTTATGTAGCTTATGAACAAAACGAGACCCAACACGGATTCCTGAAGGACACACCTGGGCTCGGTTACAGTTAACGCTTTGGCGGACTCTCGGGTCGGGGCCGATCGCTGCGGCAACGGGAGCAGCCGAGCATGAGCGCCAGCACATCCCTTTGCATCGTATGCATTGCCAACCCCTGATCTCCCTAGCGTGGCTATGATTATTACGCGACCGCTTGTTCGGGCTGCGAGATGAGACCACGCGGCGAGCCCCTATTTTGTTTTCTTTTACTGCCGCGGGGGGAAATACTAAGAGACCAGTGTACGATTTCTAGCGGAATGAAAAGTGAAGGTTTCCTTCCGCTTCCGTTCCGCTTTAGGACCATGTCCGACGAGGGGAGAGCTGGCCTCGGAAGAAGCTCGTAGCGTGGATGGATGGATGGATGGATGGATGGATGAATCCGGCTGAGCCCTTTGGATCGGGCGGTAGCTTACGCCACTTAGCCATTTTGTTTTACCATTTAAGCTTAGAATATTTAAATGTGAAATCTATATTCATTCCGCACTCCAAAGAAAGTGAGGCTATAAAAACCCCCTTGCCATCAGTTAATAAGAAAATTCCTAGTTTTCTCTCGATTTCTGCCACCATTCACTTAATCTTTGCTTGGTAATCTTTACAGTCTTGAAATCCATTCTCCCTTTGCTGTCTCTAAAACCCAATGACTTTATTAAATCTATGTTGTCTTCGGTAGGCATAGGGTGAAGCCCTTTACAGTAGAGTATCAAGTGCTCAGCCGTCTCGTCCTCCTTTCCATAAGCAGTGCACACTGTATCCATTTCCTGGTACTTCACTCTGTACGTTCTGGTTCGCAGAACACCCGTCCTCGCCTCAAACAACAATGAACTTCCCCTAGAATTGTCATAAATGCTTTCTTTGGCAATAACTGTTTTGTTTAATCTATAGCTTTCCAGAGCCGTCTTTGTCTGCATTCCCTCTAGCCACCGATCTCTTTCTGTGGCCTTAACTTTCTTCTTAACTTAGACTTGCTCTTCCGTATCTTCACTATAGCCTAAAAACTTTCTTCTTAATTTCCTAGTGCGCTGTCTCCACTTTGTGTCTACACTCCTCATGTATAAATAGCTGAAAACCTTTCGTGCCCATTGATCCGCATTCATTTGCCTCAACCTATCCTCAAATCCTATCTTGCTCACCGCTTCCCTGCTCTCAAATGACGCCCATCTCATGTCTCCTTGTACTCCCTGGTTTGGCGTTTTGCAGTGTGCCCCCAAAGCCAGTCTACCTACTCCGCGCTGTCTTATTTCTAGTCTCGCATGCACTTCGGATTTCATGCATAGCACTGCGTTTCCAAGAGTCAAGCCAGGCACCATGACCCCTTTCCAAATCTCTCACCACCTCATACCTGTTGTAATTCCAAAGTGCTCTATTTTTCATTACAGCTGCATTTCTGTTGCCCTTACCTATTATATACTTTTCATGCTCACTGAGATATTCTGCACTATCACATATCCATACTCCTAGATACTTGTATTTACTAGCTCTCTCAACTGTAATATTCTATATCTTCAGCCTCTCAACTTCATCCTTAAAAATCATGACTGCTGATTTTTCACTACTGAAATCTAAACCTAATTCCTCTCCTTCCCTACCACAGATGCTCATTAATTCCTGCAACTCTGTCCTGTTGTTAGCCATTAGTACGATATCATCCGAATACATCAATCCCGGTAAGGATTGCTGAATTTTTTGGCCTAGCTTACTGTAAGAAAGGTCGAATCCAAGCCCACTCCTCTCTAGTCTATCCTCCAATCCTCTCAGATACAACATAAACAGCAAAGGCGATAACGGGCACCCCTGCCTAAGGCCTCGTCTTATCTCTATTTTCCCTGTCGCCTTTCCTTCCCATGTTATAATCACCTTGTTATCTTTGTAAATGTTCCTTAATAGTTTCGTTAGTCCTTCATCTAGGTTTAAGCTCTCCACTATGTCCCACAGGTTCCTTTGGTTCACATTGTCATAGGCACCCTTGATATCCAGAAATGCCAGCCAGAGCTGTCTGTTTTCTTTTTGCGCTATTTCTATATACTGTTTTAGAGAAAATACATTGTCCTCCAACCTTCTTTGTTTCCGAAACCCGTTCTGTAATTCGCCCAGTATGCCCTCGCAATCTATCCATTCCTCCAGTCTGTTCTTTATAATCTGCATTACCAACCTGTAAATAACCGGTGTCACGGTTATGGGACGATAATTCCTAATATCAGACTTATCTCCCTTTCCCTTATATATCATACTCATCCTACTAAGCCTCCATTCATCTGGAATATTTCCTTTTGTTATCATGGTACTCACTACCTCCCTTAGTTTTGCCTTAGATTTAGGACCCAAATTCTTCACCAGCTTGATTGGGATACCATCTGTGCCTGTCGACGTGCCACTAGCGACTCTTCGTTCCGCCTTTTCCCATTCTCTTTGACCAAAATCCGCGATGTCACAAACTGGACTGTTACTTCCTTCGGTTCTCCTATCTTCCTCATATACCCGTTCCCGAAATTTCTCCTCCATCACTGCTCCTATATCCAGAGGGCGCTGAGGTTTAGGGCGTGGGCCCCAAGACTTTGCGCCCTCTGCTGGCTCTCAATCCAGGCCTCCGCGGCTGGTTGTTGTCCGTTCCGAAGCTCCCGATAGGAGGAGACACCCGACACCATGGTTAGGGTGTACTAGAACCTCATTTTAGTACACCCGTTTGATGTACTCACTGAAATTGTAAGCGCGCGCCGACGCGGATGCGATTTCTGAAAAGGAGGCAGGATTCTGTGTCGTGCACGACACAAACATTGTATTCAGTATGGGCGAAACCTTACTCCGCGGCTGCTCCAGGTTTCGTCATCCTGGCAGAAGCGTTCAGGCGGAATTAAACCTTGGGAACCTTACATGTATTTATCAAAGCTAAAATCCAGGAAAAAAAATTAAATAAAAATGAAAGACGTTTCCAATTCCATGTAACACCAAATTAGAGCGCAGCTCTTGAGGAGGAGGAGGTAAAGGTAAGAGAAGAGGGTATGCCTCTTCCCCTCATCCCCTCCTGCTCGCCTCCCATTCAGCGGAAACTTTTCACTAAACTTCCCGCAAAACTAAGCAGAAAAATTTCTCCGCTAAATTTAGCGGGGAAATTTTCCCGCTAAGTATAGTGGAAACTTTTTCGCTAAATTTAGCGGGGAATTTTTTCCGCTAAATTTAGCGAGGAAATTTTTACGACAGATTTAGCGGTAAAGCTTTCCCGCTAAATTAAGCGGGGATTTTTTTTCCGCTAAATATTGGGGCGAAGTTTTTCTACTCAATCTAGCGGGGAAATTTTTCTGCTAAATTTATCAGAGGAAAATTTTCCGCAAAATTTTGCGCGGAAATTTTTTCGCTGAATTCAGCAGGGAAATTTTGCCGCTAAATTTGGGGGGGGGGGGGGGGATTTTTACCGCTAAAATTAGCGGCGAAATTTTCCAGCTAAATTTAGCGGGAAATTTTTTGCGCTAAATTTAGCGGGCAAACTTTTCCGATAAAATTAGCGGGGAATTTTTTCCGCTAAATTTAGCGGAGTATTTTTTTCCGCTAAGTTTTGTGGGTTTTTTTTTTTTTTCGATAAATATAGCGGGGAATTTTTCCGCTAAATTTAGCGGGGAAAGTTTCCCGCTAAATTTATCGGGGAAAGTTTTAGCGGTGAAAGCTTTCTGCTAAATTTAGCGGGGAAATTTTCCCTTAATGCAACGCGCGGGGACGTCACGAGTTACGCCACTGGA